AACATGAAACACCACACTCCAAAGCCATCTGCTTCCTGATATTTGTGCAAACTAAGCCTTTCCAGTCAGAGATGAACTCTCTCATTGCTTGTTCAAGTTGAAAGCATTAAATGCCAAAGTATGCAAAAAACCAATACAACAAAGAGCATACGCTGGCCACCACACACCATTGGCCGGAAAGCAGTAAACTTTTTGGTTCATGATACAAAATGCATTTTCTTCTCACTGAAATGGATGCCATTAAGGAACAGGTAGTGAATGAGTTTATTTTAAAAATACATATATACAAAAATGTGTATTCCCACCTGCTATACTGGACAGCTTAGTACAGCAGTCACCCCAGAGTCACTCTCACAAGGTGTTTTGGCATGACATGAGGTATTTTTTCTTAAGACTCAGAGATAGAGAGACATCAGTCCTGTTTCTTACTCTTCTTCTGCAAGCATCATTAGATTTTGGTGATGTAGATGCAATCCAGCCAAAGAGTCGCACAACTTGAAAAAGAAGGACTGTGATAAAATACTTAGATTCAGGACTGAAATGCAAAATTATGCAAGGAGGAAACAACTAGTTAGTTCTCACTAATAGGGCACTGCCTCCAAAGTAGCAGTCAAACAGAAGAGTGTGGCCCATGCCAATTAGCCATGCAGAGAGACCCCATGCACTGGTCACTCTGCTGAAGCATCAGCCATAAGGCTCTGAAAAAAGAAAGCTGCAATCTAAGCACACTAGAGTCCACATTCATAAGACCAAGTATGTTACCACCCTTGCATGAGAGATGGAAGCCTTATCCAGGAAACCCCTGAGTCTCCTGTTTAAGGCATTAGTTCAGAAGTTGCCCCTATGCCTTGCCTTTGTGGTAGAATATGCTGCACCCAAAAGCTCTGCCAAGCTGGCCCTGTCATGGCGGGCAGTAGTACAACGGGTGAGGTAGCACGGCATTTCCCTGGCAGTCCACGTACTGGTAGTCTTCAAAAGCCAGCTGCTCTGAATGACACAGGTATGTGCACGTCAGGGTACCCCTGCAAGGCAAAAGCAGACCAGAACTGCACTCGTGATTGTCACAGATGAGACTTCTCATAATGTAAAGGTCCCATGGTGAGCTCCCACTGCCATCCTGTTTTGTCCCTACTACATAGACCCAGAACACAACAGTCAAGATACCCTCAGCTCAATGTTACATGTTGGAGAGGGAAAGCATCTTTCAGACTGCATTAAAGAAAGCCTTTACAGGACCACTACCATCACAACACACATTCTGGCCATTCTAGAAGCTCATTAAGACTTCCTATCCCAGCATAACACTCCTGGGCCTTTTGACCACTGATCTGTTCCCAAAGTGCTTGTGCAAGTCACAGTGGGTGGCTGTTTATGGAGTTAGATAGACAAAAGCATGTCTCTTTCAAGCACTATCTTTCTATGCCATTCCAAGAGCTGTTTGCATCAAGTAGTTTCTCCTAACACTATGCAATCCATGAGTGGGTAATATCAGCAGAAGGAGATGAGGTGCAGAAAAGTGTAAACATTACTAGAATCATCTTCAGCTTCTGGCTAATGGAGAGGTTGCATGTAGAAAGAGCAAAGGTTCTGTCAGCCCACAACATCAGCTAAGAAGGACAAAGTTGCCTTAAGAGCAGTGTCATTCTCCATGCTGTCCAAAATGCACTATTTTTGCTGTGCTTTGATGAGCATGGGGCTTCTCTGCATCCTTTATCTGTTTAAACTTCACATCACTCAGCACCGACTTCAGCCAAAACCTGCATTAAGACTCATATAACAAGAAACTTGACAATATAGCCCTTCAAATTGCAACAGAACACCAAGATTTAAACACCTGTGTTTTGGGAGATTGCCAGTGACATTTCTTTAGTGATTTGGGAGAATTCCAGCCTGGCATGCCTCCAGGAGTCACACACTTCCTCCAGTCAAATGCTTCTCCTAATATTCACAACCCATTTCCAGATACAGCAGACAAAGCCCTGGCTTTAGATTAGCATGAAAGACCACGACGCAAAAGCAGCTCCTCCTTCCTGAAGGAATCATGGACTCGGTGACAAGAGGCTGCACATGGTGAAACTGGAGGTCCATCTTCCAAGAGTGGGCTCACAACCTGGAGTCTGTCAACACAGATGTGCAGGGAGATCCTTCTAGAGGCTACACAAGGAGACAATTTCTGCTGCAGAATTTTCCAGTGTGGCTTAAACTCCAATAATGAACACCACTCTTCTTTCATGGCTGCATGGAAGCATTCTAGCACTGCTACACCTCATAAAAGCTTCCTCATCCCACACAGCAGGTTTAGCTCTGACTCAGACCAGAACAGTAGCAACCTGTCCCAGCAGGATCTGTATTCTAAAACTGCAGTTGTGCTCCTTGCCCCCCTGGCAGGGAGGAACGGCAACCTGCATTTGCTTTCTCAGCAGGGCCTGTCAGTAGTCTAAAACACAGTCGGGCTAAGCATGGTCCTCTGATCAGCCCCTGAACAGGAGCTGCCTCAGGCAACAGAATCTGCAGAAGAGCCTGCTTTGTCCTGCCTTGCTCTCAGCAGCTGCTGTCAGAACACTTGGAGGCAATTATCCACACATCCGCAGAGAGTCCAGGCTGAATGAGTCTGCCCCCAACACCATGAGGCAGGCAAGCAGGCATAGTTGAACCAGTCAGTACTTCTAGCTCCCGAACAGTTACTTCCCAACAACTACAACCAGTATTCCAGAAGGAAGTTTGCCAGGGCAGCTTGCTGTAAGCAACAGTGACAGCCTGAGCTGTCACTGAGCCTGAATCCAGGGGACTTCTCAGGGCAGTGAACACTTTGGAGATTTATCGCCTCCTCACACCTCAACACACCTATCTAGGTAACAGCACAGTCACACTGCAGACAGTTCTGGTCTTGAAGAACAGTGACTGCAACAGACATTCTTGAAGGGAGTTGAGAAACTACGTAGGTGACATGGATGTTAGTTATAGCTCTGAACCAGGCATCACTTACTGTATATGCAGCAGAACATTGTGAACTTTGACTTTTGCCCAGGTGCAAATGTTACTACAAGAGAAAAAAATAGAGTTAATTTCACAGGAGATGCCTGCACCATGTATCTCCTGTCCTCAATTATTCCATTGCTTCTCTGCTTCTCCAAAAAGGTCTGTCTTTGCAATATTCCGACAACATCTATGTAGGTAACCTTCTTCAAGCACAGCAGTGTCTACACCAGTAAAACATGTTTTCGCTGGTGTAACTCCAACTGTGGATCTAGTAAGCATGGGCCTCGTAAATGCGCAATGTGCCACCCTGTCTGCACAGAAGCTTTGGTTGGCTATGAACTTCACATAGTTTGCTGGTCATTTGCAGAGAAATGCCATTTGTACAAGGTACCTTGAGCTGCTCACAAATGGAGCATTTAAAGTTTAAAACCTAGACATTAAATTGATAGAATCACGTACTCATCAGAATATATGGAAAATTACATTGCTGAGCCAACCTGAAGCAGAAAATACCAGTAAATAGAAAAGGAAGTTAATTTAAAATGGACGTGCCAGACTTGTATCCACATGAGCTCCACAACTTAAACTAAAAAGGACACACTCACTCAGCTTTGCTCGACAGGATCAGCACAAGAAATCTAGTCATGAAAAGCCTATAAGCATTAGTGTTACTTACTAACCAATGGAAGAAATCTTCAAGAATTACTCACTAGGTGTTGTCATCCAGTATCGTACTAGCCACCATATAATAGATCTGCAAATGTGAACAGAAGAGAAAGCAGGAAGTACACAAGAACTACAGTTACGTTTGTATACAATTCAGAGAGTTGAAGTAGGGAGAACTCTCATTAGATGTCTGAACCTGCATTTCAAGATCTAGCCTAACAATTGTTTTTAACAGTAGGTAAGAAAACAGAATCACAAATTACATCTAAAAAGGCCTTAAAAAGGTCATCTAGGCCACACACCTGACCTTTACACCAAGAATGGATCAGCTGCGCTCAAACTGTTCCCACGGGCATTTTGTCTAACCTGTTTTTAGGCTCGCCATCATTTTAAGGCAAGCACATAACCCAGCCCACTACCTGAAGAGCAGACAAGTGTTCCTTGCCCAGGAATGTATTAGCTTCAAACTCAGCAACATGTAAATTCTTACAACACCCCTTTCCAAAGTGGGATGTGGGAAGTTGCATGTGGAAGACCTTTGACTATTTGGCAGACAGATGACAGAAGAGTGAATCAAGTATACAATAAGCACCTCCCTGTCCAGGACATCCAGATTAGTTTAGGAGAAAATGCAAGCAGCCACAGAGCTCACCTGGCTACTCTGCAAAGGGCTCATATTCAGCAGGGTTTTCATGGTCGTCTTCCCTACTACTAGGGACTGGTGCAAAACCTTTATGTCTAGCTGCACAACAGTGACCAGGTAGAAGTTTTTATTAGTTATGTTCAGCATATTCTAGGAGAGAAAAGAAAACAAACCCAAAGCACAAATCACCTTGCAGCAGGGCCATACGTGACTGTTGCAAAGCTACTTTAAATATACTCCTGCTATGACCTTTCAGCAACACTGGACCACATCGCCCTTTTCAAATCCTCAGAGGTACATCCAGCCTGACCACAAAGGCATGTATGCTGCAGTGTCTCCCATGACAGTCAAAGGAGGACAACGAGGCATCTCAAGAATACAAAAGAAAAAGGATTCCCAGAATTAATCACAGTGCTCCTACACAGACCCTTTGGCCACTTTGTGTGACTTGCTCACTTGCAGCCAGGCCAGCCACACCTCTGATGCTGTAACACACTCCGGACCTTGATTCCAAGTAGCCAGAGAGTGGACTAAGATGACGGGAATGGTAAGACTAACTTCTGACAGTGATCAGCCTACACATGAAGTGGCACAGGAGATCTAACAGGAGAAGCAGGGAGCCCTTCAGATCTACTCTTCTGACTGCAAGCTGAGCACTTACCGTCATGTTGAGGTATATACTGGTGGTGGTGGCATTAAAGCCAACAGAGGAGGCATTCAGCCCTGCAGGCAGCACAGTAACAGAGCGAGGAAACAGGAAGAAAATACTGAGAGATGTTGTCAGCAGGCAGATTGTCACTGCAAGACATACATGGAGTTTCCTGCAAAACAGCACCAGGGCCACAGTCATTCTCTTGGTTTGTCAGCTGCGAGCACCTACAGTTCTGCTCCAGTTCAAAGGGAGAAAACAATAAAAGCTTGTGTGCCAGAAAACTAGGACGGGTTTGTGCAGAACTATTTGCCAGCTACCAAATCACAGCACAAGCAGGGCAGAGTCCCACACACCGACATGGTACATTACAGTACAAATTGCTGGAGATCCCCAGCAACTGCACACAGAAGACTGTCCAACATCTGTTATTGCTGAAAAGACACAATAAACACCAAACTTACTGCAAGTCAAAGCACAAAGAGCAAAACACCCAGAGTACTGAGGCTTTCCTCCATATGCAGAGAAACATTCAGAAGATGTGAAAAGGAGAAAATTTAACAGGACTTACGTTCGTCTAGGCTTCAGCCTCTGGTCACCATATGGAATCAGAGCCACCAGCTGCTTCTCTTGCTCTGAAAGAGGTGGCAGCAGATCAGAGACCACACTACAGCAAATTTCATTGCAGGACATGGCACAACAGCCTAGTGTCCATCTGCACTCACTTTACAAGTGATGCTGTCCAACTAGAAGGCAAATGCGATACAACTAAGATTTCAGTTTGAGCATTCCCATCTCTAGGCAGAAACAACTACTCCCCAGGAACTCAAGGGTGGACTTTGAGTAATTATCCAGAAACAGCACTACCTGCCTTCCCACCCCATCCTCTCCAAATAGAGGCAGCCCACAGAAGTCACAAGTAAGCTGGAGGTACCAAGACGGGCATTTCTAGACTGAATACAATAAAGACCAACTGGTTCAACCAAGGTCTTTAGGCAAAGAGGCACATACCAAACTCAGAAGGCTCAAAAAGCACTGACACAGCACACGGAAGAATCACCCACCCCCAGGGATCCTTCCTGTTCCCTGACATGTTGGACAGCTGACACAGCTTCGACGTGCAATGCCCACACAGAGCACACAGGATGCAGCAGAGTCATTGATACTAGCATAATTGGTGATTTCATCTTCAGCTTCCGGTTGCCTGGGTAAAATCAGTTTGCCTTCACTCTCCTTTTGGTCAGGTGTCTTCCAGAATGGTGAAAGTCTTCCACCCATGGTTGAAAGAAGAGTTCTCACTATGTGTCCAACACAAAAATGCATTAAGAACATTGTCTCTGTGAACCAACCTCCAAGAGCAGCACCATTAGCATTTGTGGTAGCTCACAAGTATCTTAACATTCAGGAAGCTTCTTAAAGCACAGTTCTAAGGTTGCTTTAAAAGCTGAGATACTGCAACTCGCTCTTCCAAAACATCCAATCTTCTAGACACCCTGGAAACAGAGGAAGTGTCCAAGAATGCCACCGTACAGAACAGCATACTAGATTCTTCCTTATCTCACAGTATTTGTTAAGAGAGGGGAACGTTGACTCAAAGCTCCTGAAGGTTTCAAGATGACAACATAACCTCGAAGAACTGCCAAGTTCTTGACTGGTCATTATTCACCCATATCCAGCAGTGAACTCACCTGAACATCGAGGCCCTGGCATTCCCAATCAAGCGCAGTGTTACTAACAGTAATGGTTGCCTGACTAAAATCAAATAGCGTGCAAAGAGAATCTAGAAATAGGTAAAATAAGAGAATCTAAAGATAGTGTACTTTTAAAAGTTAAAAATACCGTTGGCTTGTTTTCCCAGGCTTCTGGCAATCAAAAACTTTTACATCAGCTCCTAGTAATCCTCCAAAAGCATTAGCAATACCAAGCTGAAGAAAAGCAACTATGTTTTCAAAGACATCAGTTGAATGCAGTTTCTTACCTGTGCCAGTCTTTCCTCTAGGCAGTTTTGTTTTAAGAACTCCGATATAGGTAGGATGTTTAGCTTGGATAAACAGCAGCTTCTGTGTTTGGCCAGATGGTCCGGAGGCTTCGCATGAATAAACCCTCAGGGCTCTATTATAAAACACACTGAGGATGCAAATCGCCACCTGGCAGAGGAGAACTACCACAACGGAGTTACAGAGCATAGGGCTCATTCTACAGCCCACAATCCCGGGCTGCAATGGCAAAACATGAGCAGATTCCAGGGGCAGCTGCTGTTTTCCTTGCCAACAAAGGAAGAACCAGGATCTCATTTAACTAGCAGAGGCAGACACAGCTGCAGCACCGCCCATTCATCCCTGGAGGGAACTTTCAGCAGCCCAGTACCCCAGACTATGAAATTCTGCAAGACACTGCTTGGAAGCTCAAGGTAAGTCAGTGTTCCCCACCCTCTTGCAGCATACAGAAGGGAAAGGAAGGACAACGCTGCCTGAGGGATCTAGGCTTTTCTAAGAGGGAAGGGCCTCATTATATTGTACCACAAGTCCCCATCTCTGCAGTCTCTTGAGAGCCCCAGGCAGTGAAGCTGCAGCTTTACCTACACTCTGATAACGTTTACTAGCTTTTCAGAAACAAACGGTGAGGAGCAGCAGCCTTTTCACAGAACTTGGTCAACCAGCC